TGTACATACCATATCTAAATCCTACCACATGTAAAAAAAAAAAAAAAAAAAAAAAAAAAAAAAAAAAAAAAAAAAACTAACAAACCCAAAAACCAAAACGAACATGCTGCTAGTTTCTCTCTGAATTTCTGGGATCAAGAGTTATCATTATTTGCAGTATTTATACAAAGAATATTGTCCTAATCTTTGTTATTGTTATCACAATGTTTCGGCCATTGTGCTTTCTGGCCTTCATCAGGTGTATGTTGATATGGCTACAGGGATTTCCAAAATTAACCCACTACTTAATCTATGGTGGTAGACCGTTCTCATCCAATTGCCCATGTCTATGGATATCTCATCTAATTTTTATTTTTTGTACTGCTCAGTTATTACTTGCCCTGTTTCCACTGAGTCCAAGTACACAGTGATATATAGATATTCCTAGAAGTAGAACAAGAAAAGTTTACACCTATAGATTAAATAAAAGGCTCAGTTTGGAATTCCTTGTAGGTTACCCAGCTCGACATACACCTGATGAAGGCTAGAGGGCACAATAGCTGAAACATTGTGATAACAATAATAAAGATGAGGACAATAGTCTGCATGCAAATAATGCTTCCAATTATTCAATACTAGTTTCCATGCAAACAACACTTAAAAGCATGCTTATCTAAGTAGACATACATTAAAAACAAGACAAATTATATATTACCTGACCAGAAAGCATGGATGAGCCATGTAAATGTTTTAACAAGTATATTGCCAAGTATCTGTATTGTTTAGCTAGTCAGAAGCATTTTTTTTTACATTTTCACTAACAGAATATTGTGTAAAACAGAAATAAAAGTAAATATTTTACACATATTTTTTTAATTTATATAATATGGAAATCATGTTCTTCTGTGGTAAAAGAAATTTTTTTAAAATCAGTAGTAGAAACACAAATCTCTATTTCTAGCAAAATATTGTAATTGTGTTATGTCTAAGAGTATTAAAAAAAGAAAGTAACATCTTTTTTTAACTGACTCTAAATATGAAAATTTGATATCACTACAAGGATATAATATTCTTTATTTCTGCTGAGAAGTTTTAAGTTTAACAAGGAGTAAGTAGTTGAAGAAGAAATACATTCTGGCACATTAATATATTCATGGGTCATACACTAAGTATCAATTTGTTTTCACCTCACCTCAACAATGTTACAATATAATAATAATAGTAATAAAAGACATAGCTAAAAATCAATCTCCATGTTTTCTGATGAATTGATTGATGAGACAATGTAACATATCTTTTTCCTTTAATCTGATAAGACCCAGTCAAAAAGATGGACTTCTTAAAAAATTCAATAAAATAAGAAAAAGAGAAACTGATATTCCATGCAACAATAAAAAGAAGCAAAACTAAAACTAATATAATTTTGCTTTGTTTTACATATAAGCATATTTTATACATTTATATATAAGTGTCCTGTACTACACTATGTAACATTTCTTGTACTGACAAAAGAAGAATTAGCAAACAATTCTATTGTAAACAAAACCCAATGCATATCCATCTCCATAGTACCAATGAATGGAAACCATTCAACGATATTATACCCATAGTTATAACAATGGAGTTCCCTATACTTGCCTCAGGTGTCATTAGGTTGCTTTAAGAAAGAAAAATGTAAAGAACATTAAAATAAAAATAATTAAGAGTAAATCAATTAAAATAAATATGTAAACTAAGACAAACTACAAGGTAAATATCATTTTTTTTTTTGCAATATGCAATTTTCTTTAAAAAAAATGTTTGTATGAAGGGTGCTGTAAAATTCTTGGTTTGGCCCACTTCCAAAAATGAGTATTCTGATGTTTGATCATGGAAACTGGGTCAGACTGAGCACCTAAGTACTTCTGTACTTTTTTGGTAACAGTTCATATTTCCTTGAAGATTTAATTAAACGATAAAAATATTGCCCTATTAACATGAGTATTATCCATGACTGTACATAACAAAAGAAGAAATTAATAAAATTCACAATAATTTTCTATTAAATCAAAATCATTTTTTTTCAGAATGTACATTATTGATAAAACATCACCATTGAAAATATTGGTGTAGCTTACTGACTTGACATTTATCCTGTTTACTTAATAGATTTACTGATTAATAAGAGTTGTAGCAATTTTATGCTAAGTGGAAATGAAACAAACCTTATCCCATTTCTTTGTCTTCCTCAGTTGGAGATATTACAGATATTATAAATCCAAAAACAGCTTAAAGCTTTTGAATAAAAGACAATATTTGAACACAAAGGAATAATTGTCCTTATTATTCTATGATAATAATATGTTGAACATTGGTTTATGACTTATACATCTTATGTATCAACCTTTGTGGATCTTATCAAAATGTTTTGAATAGGATTAATCTTTTCAATATATGTTAACTTAAATAATCTGTCATAAATATTTTATTTTTGTATGCATGTGTTTTAAATAAAACATTTGAATTTTGGAAATGTATACCAGTCCAGTAAGAAAAGAAAATGGAAATTTACAAAAAAAAAAAAAAAAAAAAAAAAATGTAATTTTAAAAAATATAGATTAAAAACAATGACATGGAACTTTCAAATCAAGTTGCTAAAAACAATAAAAACCCTGAAACATGTATTTTTAAAGTGAAATATCAATTTTAAAATAATATTTTATTCATGAAGTGAATTCAAATAAAAAAAAGCAATCAATTTTGAATTCTTAATTATTTCTAAAGAATAAACAGGCAATAAAATCATTTCAATTAAATCATGTCAAATGGTTATTACTCTGAAATACAAAATAACATGGAGTGAAAATTAGGGGAAAGTAAGAAGGGGAATAACTCTTTAAAATTTATACCATAAAACTACAATTCTCTTTATTAAATGTATGAGAAAGTGCTGAAAAGTTATAGGCCTGCCAAACTTCTCTAAATATGACCAAACATCATACTCTCTTTTTTTGAGGGGTATTATGGTTGGGCTGAGAATTTTTGAACATCCACTGATATTGAAAATGAGAAGAAATTAAAGCAAAAGTGATAAAAGAACAACAGCAGGATAGTGTTTCTGTGCTAAAATCATTTAATCCCATCAATCTTTAAATGATCACTTTTCCTATCAGTAGAAAAGTATAAACTCTAAATTCACTTTTCTCAACGGAAGAAATCAATTAGAACTAATTAAATCATTAATTAATTTTTTCTTTCTTTACATATATTTGAAATGAAAATTTATTAGTTGTAGATACTAAAGCCCCACCTATAGAAGATCTGATGCAAAAAAAATGTTGATTTTGTCTATATGTTTGTATAAATTCTTAAAAAGAACACTTGATAATAATACATGATAGTAAAATACATTTCAAATTTTGTTTAATGATATCAGTATTATAAAGAGGTGCTGAAAAGATTCAGGCCGGACCTGGAATGGATTGTAAAAAAAATTGATTGTTTGGTCATTTGGTCAGATTTTAAGTTTTAGACTGGTCTTAAAACTTTTCAGCACATTCTCATAAGCTGTCTGAATTTCTAAGATGAAGCATTGTTGTTATTACTTAATTACTGATTTGTTTTTCAATCATTTTATTTTGGTTATTTTCTAATCACAACTCTTAGGCTGTTTTTATCTATCCTGTTGTTAAGCAAAGAGCACAGATTAAAAATTAAGCTTCTGACAAGAATAGAACCTGCATCCATATCTTTGGAAGCCTGTCAGCCAGAGACAACACTTTACCAATTAGGCTATGAAAGTTAATGAGCAAAAATTACTCAAATTTAGTCATAGGGCTGCATTCTTCCTTATCTAATTTTTGTTTCTGTTTCTGTGCATAGTTTTCTTTGGACAGATTTCTTTGTTCTTGTTTGTACTTTGCTTTTTCCACAATGTTTTGACCTTTAACATTCCTTGGGTGTTTGCTATATTCGAAAATGAGGATCAATCCAACTTTAGGAGTTGCATGAGCATCTCCCCACTCCCCACATATTATATTTGTACTTTGCTCAGATGACTGAATAATGGATTATTGATATTAGTAGCATGTGTATACCACCAATTAAGAAGCACAAAGAAAGTTGTAAACAATACAGCAAAAATAACTCGATTATACAGTGTGTGTCAGAAATACTTCTCATATATACCACCCACATAATGGCAAGACATTAGTGGCAATGGTATCTTCATCTAGCTAATGTCTTACTATTATGTAGGAGGCATTTCTGCAACACCCTCTATAAACCAGTAGATGAAGGAAGCAGTTGGAACAATTTAAAAGTTACATTTATTTTCATAAATCTCTAGACTGACTTTCTAAATTATTTGTATAATAATTTCATCTTAAGTGAAATAGAATGGCAGAATATATACAGACTTTCCTCTGTTTCCACAGAAATAAATAAATGCCAATAAAAAGTAGGATAGAGAAAAAAAGGGTCACAAGAAAAATGGAGACAGCATAATGGTGATAAAAGCAGTAGGATAGGTGGATTAAAATATAGTTATATTTTTTTCTAGAACATTTCACTCACCTTCATCAATTTCGTCTTCTGTTTAAAAAACAAAAAGAAACAAAAATACAAGTAATCTTGTTTCAATATATTCAGGTTATCCTAACAGGAAAGTTAATAAACCATAAAATGTGGGTCTTTCTACTACTTAACCACATACAGAATGCTGAAAAGGCTTGATCCATTTTTCAAAATTTGTTTTTTATGGCTTATCAACCCCTTTGTGGGTTATTTAAAACCAAAACAAAGTTCAGATTGTAGGCGGTTGCTTACAGTACCTGGTTTTCCCAAGCAGTCATCCATCTATGTACTGACAGGGCTTGGCACTGCTTAACTTCAGTGTTCAAAAGAAAAGCAGTTTTTTGGTTGGACTGAGAACTTTTCAACACCCAATTTTTGTGCAAGTGTTTGTTATTTTTTTTTTTTTATAACATCAGATTACAGAATATATCCAAGTATATTGTAGAAAATACAAAATAAATAAATACCTTTCTTCTCCTCTGCAGCTGTTAGGTCTGCCCTGAAAAAGATCCGGGCACTGCTCAGGGAATAATTCAGTAGTTCAAATTCCTGGAAAATTAAACAACCAAGAATCTACAATCAACTTGGCTTTCTTATTAGTGAATTAATTTCAGAAGATCTACTCTAATTTTTAACTGAACCACAAATGATGAGAATTTTTCTTTTCATCTTTACATTTTTTGTCCTATCACTTTTTCCAAAAGACTTGCTATGGAACATCTATTCAAGTACAGGTATCCATTAAAAATGATGCTTGAAATAATCAAAATAGTATTAGTATCAATGGGTATTGTAATATGGTTGTGATATCTCTTATCAGACACAGCAGAACAAACAATTTTCAGCAAATCTGGACCTTCAACCATGCAAAAATAAGGAGTGTCAAAAGGACAGATTTTCCCTTGACACCACTATTATTTTAACTACCTCCCATCCTTGGCAATGCTTTAAAAAACAATGATTAAAATTGTAATAAAACCTAAACATATGATGAAAGTGAACTTATACATTTTTTGTTCTTGAGAATTGACAACAAAAATATTAAATGCTATTTATTAGATTGTTTATTTACAAGAATAAATTTTATTTCGATCACTGGGGTAGACTGTTCTAGTTCCATGTTTGATGGATGTCAGTTGTCAGTTATCTCCTGCTAATTTTCCCTCTGAACACAAGGACACATGACACAGTGGATAAAGGTGTTAGTTAGATCTAGTGACGGACCCAAAGAGTGTGAGTTCAATACCCAGTTAAGGCAGTGGAGAACTTTCAGAGGGAAAATTAGCAGGAGATAACTGATAACTGACATCCATCAAACATGGCATGTGGAACTAGAACAGTCTACCCCAGTGATCAAAATAAAGGGTTCAGTTCAAAATTCCAATAAATTTTATATTTATAACATTCTAAAAACTAATACAATTATAACTAATGCAATGCAATATTTATCATTTACCAATTTATGAAGAAATAAATATGAAAACAATTTTTTATTCATAAATTTATAAATATTTACTAAATTATTAAAATATAAGGAAATCCTTATTATTTACCGTTTTATAAAGTTTGAATTAGTCGGAATTAGCCGATGTTTTACCAACAATTCTATTAATAAATAGTATTTATTTTTGTTGTCACTCCTCAACAAACAAAATGTATAAATTCACTTTCATTTGTCTAGGTTTTATTACAATTCTAATCATCACTTTTTAGAACAATAAACATTGCTGATGAATGAATGTAGTTAAAATAATACCAATATCAAGGGAAAAATTGTCCTTTCAACATTGTTTTTTGTGGGCACAAAGGTCCGAGTTTGCCAAAATTTGAGGTGGAATATCTTTTATGTTCCAAGAACTGAATTACTTTGATAATATCACAAATAAGATTTTTTTTAATGAAATTCAAATGACAGAAGATAATTTTTTTTCAACTCGCTTAAAAGAAATTAATATTACATATGCACATCTATAAATCAAGATTTTAAGAACAAATTTCTAAAGGGAAAATTAGTGGATGGGGTCAAGTTACACAAGGTTAATAGTTTCATTAGGCTAAAATACATGTAGCAGAATAGAAAGGGTGAGGAAGAACTTTTGTTGATTAAATACCAAGGATTAACCAATACATATGATCCTAATATACAAAGATTTATGATATTTTGATACATACAATTGTACAGATGACAAATACCATCCTGTAACAGATTATTCCACAACTCTTGCATCTGTTGGCCTAATATATGAATTGTAGGTGAGCTAACTAAATGAGTCTGTCATCATCCCATCATATTTTATACATGTTCAATGGGGACAGGTCTGTTGATCATGCTAGCCAGGGAAATTGATAAATATCTTGTGACTTTTGGCACCCCTCACCGTGATATCTTGTTTAGGGGCCTGTTTGTCGTGAGTTAATACACTTAGGCATCTCTGTTGCACCTGCAAATGATGATCATTTGCGTGGAGGTTGAATCTGCACTAATCACTGAACATTGTAGAAGGACATACAATCACACCACCTAGGCAACTCTTTTGTGACACTATTGGAGATATTCATGACAGCATTGTGGTATAAGTGGATATTTAGTGAGAGGTGGGCATGCCTGTAGACCTGCTGCAAGTAAATGATTTATAATGGTCTGTCTTGACACCCTCCCTCAGGGTGACATTTGCTATGGATACCATACCATCAACCACTGCTACTTTTACAATGTGTCAATTTTGGTGAGCATGTGCACTATGCAGCTGTTCATAAACTGGTTTACAGATACAGAAATGCTTATTTGACCCTTGTTGCAAACATTGAAGCAGCATTTCTCTGAAATGAACATCCAGCTCCTTGAAGGCCCACAATTAAATGGTTCTGATTGAATAAAAGGAGCAGGTGTGTATATTGCATGACACACCTGCATGTACTGGTTTCTTTCACCACATTGAACATCAGCACAGCATGTGTCACTGACTTAAAGCTCAGATATAAACAGTATAAGTGTTGTTATGTCGTTGTTAGTCAACGAATTCTAAAATTTTTAAATATAAACTACTGTTTAGCATGTACATGCAGTTCCCAAATCAAAATCAGTATCAACCTGCAGGGTTCTAGAATTTTATTTTCCATAAGGACAACGAAACAGTTTGTGCTTGAAGCAGTGTACTGAGGGAATCCATGGTAAGACACAGACAAAGAAAACTGGGGGAGAGAATGTGTCAATAATAAACTTAAGAAATTAAAGTTGAAAGAAATCATGGCTCTAGATAGAGTAGTTTGGAGAAGTGCAATGAAGAAAGCTTCCTAAACATCTAATCTTTGTATCAAGGAAAGAAGACAATTTACCAAATAATGAGTGAGTGAGTATTTAAAAGAATCAATGTGGAATAAAGACAATCAGAAAAGAATCAAATAAAGCAATAAGTATTGACCTGAATGTAGAGATCAATCCTCTTCATGGTCAATGTTGTGGTCTGTTGTAGTTTTTCATCCATTTTGCCATTGGCCAGAGTTTGTTGTTTCTTTGCTTCCATCTGAATATAAAAATAAAACAAACATTAAATAAAGTATAAAATTTCAGGTGCAAAAGTTAAGAGACATACAAAAAAAAAAAGAAAGTAAAAACAATTTTATATCAAATGAATATTTTCAGAATACCAATGTTGGCAATTCTATATGTGGGTACCATAGATGGTACCCACATACAGAAATGAAATTGCTGAGCTGAGTTAAAATTCTAGCAAAGTCAGTGGCCTTGATTTCATAATAATGCCCTGGGGAAAGGCCTGAATCCATTTCTTCCTATTAGCTATGGGTTAAATAGTAGGACAGATTGGGGCTCTCTTGTTTTGATTGGCAACCAGTTTAAGAGAAAAAGAAATCTGAACCTGAAAAACCAGTTAGGAGTCAATGGGAAACCATCTGACTCTCATTCTTAAAAACGGTCAGGGCAAAGAATCTGTTACTTGATAGGACTGGTGTCCCCCACTCTACTTTTTTTGTTTTAAATTTAATCATTTCCCCATAAGTAAGGCAATAAAGCCACTAAGATATAAGGGGTTACTGATTGTGAAAGAATATGAGAAGAAAACCTTATTAAGGAGACAGAACAATAAAAAAAACAGGATTGAAAAAGACAGATGATGACAACTGATATTGCATTTAATTTTTTGAAGATCAAAGTTGACTGAAAAGCAAAAAGCCAGAAGAGAGTTCCTCAAGTGAGAAGAAACTGTTAGCATAGAACCTTTAGTTTCATCCAGCAATTTCAAAAGTAAAATGATGAGACCTAGCTTCCAATCTAGTATGGCACTTAAATTCATAAAGTCAAGATACCAGAAAAGAAAGCTAATCAGAATAATTACCATGAAAATATTTATAGAAATGGCACAGGGAAGCTCTCTTTACATTGGTGGGAAAGTGATTAAAGCCGAGATGCCAGGTCATGACTATGAACATTGTAGACTTGGCATCTCAACTTCTGTCCCTATCACAAAATGACCTGTGAGTCTCTGCAATGATTAAATCATTGAGCACAACTGGCTGAACCCACCCTGGATGAATGCTGAAACAAGTACATCAGTACTAAGTGTTTAATGAACGATTGTGTTTTTTCCATATTTAAATATATATGCAAAAGGTTTGTACAAAATTGTTTCTTTTTAATTCACATGAGCATTCCCCACCTTCCAAGTTGTGCTGCAATGTCATCTGAAAAAAAGATCAAACTTATAAATGTTGGTTATTTTTATTATTAACTAGAAGTAGAGCCCGGCGTTGCCCAGGGATGTAACAGTAAGAGATAGATCAAGTATCGACAATCATAAAGACTGAAAAATAAAATTGACAAAGATTATTGTTTAAGGTTGATGGACACGCATGTCTTAATTAGTTTTTTTTTTTTTTTTTTTTTACGAATTGGTCAAACCCAAACAAAAACATTGTTTTTCAATCGTTATGATTGAATAGAATTTTATTATAAACAATTGTCTTGTAAATGGAATTTTTAAAGCATTCTGAATGTAAAAGTAAAGAAAAAAGTGTGCAAGACAATAAGAAACACTACCTGCCAAAAAAAAAAAAGTGAAGTTTTGTTAAAATCGGTTGAAAAATGTAGGAAATT